TATGTACACTCCAACACAATTTCCAGAGGGACCGTAGACTTATTATATTCAAAGAGTTTTCGCCGGAATCATAGTCGAGATTATCAGTAAGTCTCGCCACTCCTAGCTTCACACTAGAACTTATCAAAGAGGCAAGATAAGTTGATCTTTTGACCGATTTTCCACCGAACATTTGTTCTACCTCTCCTTCTGTCCTGGTGTCACGCCATCTTGCTCTTCATACTTTTAATTATTAATTATAAACCTGGAGCTTCCTCGAAACTTCACTTTTATTCGAATATGCTATGATTATCCAGCTTGGGTCCTCCAAATTGTTCAACATTTATTAGATGACGAGCAAAACGAGCAAAATTATCCTCTAATTCTCTTAAATATATCACTATGGTTGGCTTGTCCCGTCTAGCTCTTAGCCGATCTGCTCTTTGCCTTTAGGGTGGCAAGTGAGGAAATCTCGCCTCTTAATTTTGAAAAGCATTGTGTTATATCCCGAGTACATTAAGTCCTGTGCTTATACTGGTCTGACTGGTAGACCTCATGAAGATGCAAACCAGTTATCTAATTGGGCAGTGCAGAGCTCCAAAAGAGGTACATATAATGCTCCATTCTTCTTCTCCTTAGATTGGGCCACATAAAACCTAATCAACCTCTAAAGAATGTGAGCTAGCGCACCACAGACCGCCCCTACAACCTTGGTAATGACGGCGAAAGAAGATAAGTTGGAATAAGAAGCACCAAATGACTTAAGCTAAGGCTGAAACCTTATTTAAATACATAAAATAAAGATATAGACAAAGATGGGTTGTTAAAAAGAGCAATCAGGCAAATAAGTGACTAGGCAATCAAAGTGTGTATAAGTGAAATAACTTAATATAGATGAGAGATGCTTGATTATGAAAGTCACGTGTTAGATCATACGGCCGAAAGTGAATTCTTTTTGGAGTCGTGCAGGAATACAAATTAAACTTCTTTGTACAAACCAGAGCATGGAAACTAACATGAGAGGGAAACTGATCTATGACTAAAAACAAATTAGATTATTCAAGTTGGTTGACCTTGTTTTCACAACTTGGTCATATTGGTAGGAAGGCTTAGAGGAACGCACATAGTCTGGAGTCCATAGTATGCATTATAATTTCAAGAATTAAACGATGGACTTGGTACATTCACAGCCGTTTCGCCGGCATCGTAGTCGGCTCTATTCTTCGCTGCAAAAACAAAGTCAGACAACTTCCATGCAACAAAGGAGGAGTGTGAACACACAAGATGTCACACTATTTTGGACTTCATACCTTTAATTAGATTATTGTTATGAGCCAAAACTCGCTATTTCACTTTTTATTCCACTACAAATGAGGATAGATGTTCGACAGTGAGTTAAGCACAGCGTACCTTAGTGATGAAGATCCCTGAGTCATCATCAATATGCTCGTTTCCGACTCCACCGGCAATGCTGAAGCCGAGACCAGCGCTGGTACCCCGCTGTAGAACTACCTCTATAAAAAGCGTATTCGGTTCCAAGCGAGCCACTGGTCGCGGTCGACGTAATGTGACCGCTCTACTCGTCGACTCCGTCGTCGTCACTGATGAGAAGCCACCATGATTGACTGCAGCAGTCGACTTGCTACCAAACGGAAATTTCCTTTCCGGCAGGCCCTGATGTGGGCTCCGGCTAGCCGGATATTCAGTAGCCAAAAGGTCATTATCAGCGTCACTGGAGTCAACCTGGATCAGATGATGCACCCTACGTCGTTCTGACTGACTACGGCTGGAGGATACGTCGGGGAAACTCCTGCAAATAAATAGGAGACGAAAAATAAGATATCATCTAAGAGGCCGGCTCAGCTCTTCTCGAGGAATAGCCAACCGAAGAAGAGAAACTAACTTCCGAAAGCAGAGTTCCTCTATACCAATCAGACATTTATGTCTAGGATATTCATGGTCATTAGCTAGCGAGGCTGGTAGGAAGATAAAACTTCTGAGGCTCTATTAACATTTGATTTATTATTTTGAAGAATAAAATAACATACATGAAAGAGTAAAAAAATATCCAGCATGAACTGGATAAATATAGTTAAAATGACAATATGAATATGAAAACTACTTTAAAGTAATACTAATCTCAATGAAAACATCTGCTCATTCCATGCACTAAGGCAGTGGTTCCCAAACTTTTCCTAGTCACGGCGCCCTTTTTGAATTAAAATTTTTACATGACGCCTTACCCTAAGTATGACTATTCGTAAATAAGAGATATCTTCATTATCTTTATTATTTTTTTAATTTTATTAACATTTAATTAATATTTAATTATTAATGTCACGGATAAGCCTGCAATTCACTGCACATTTTCTCAAATTGAAGCTCTTACCATATTTCCCGGCGCCCCTGTAAATAGGCAGCGGCGCACAGTTTGGAAATCACTGCCCTAAAGCATAATTAAAGCTTATTGTGGTCGGTAAAAGAGCTGTTAACTAGGACGCCCAATGTCAATGTTTAGAACGTTATTATTTTGGTTTACCAGTTCGATTTATTTCCATGATGATTACATTTTGTAACATCCTAAAGAATATATTTATATAGTATAAAGCTATTGACGATGAGTCTATATAGAATTGGTGATTCAAAGCACGATAAGGTATTTGCTAACTTTTAAATAACGAGTCCTTTTCATGTAATTTAAGGCCTAAATAACCTTTACACTTCACAGCGGAATAATCTTTCTATCTTTTCTGGAGTTCATCAGCACCCCGGCGGGATTGGAAGACGGGTCGTGTGCATTGGACAGCGACAAGCTATACTTCTACGTGTCACAGGGCAGATGTGAATTTCAGGGCAAGGTAGGCTCCTCCTAACTTCTATTTTCAGTGGGGACCCTTGTCAGTAGAATAAACTCAGAAATTCCGATAGTGCTAAAAGGCATCGATGCGCATTTATGAACGGATAATGCAGCATTTTTCCCTGTAAAAATTGTCAAGCATAATGGTAACTAAGAGATTTTGTCAGCAATAACCGAACTCACCTCAAATGTGAATTGAGGTAGCCTGGATTGTCTTGAAAGTCGCATAGGTCCTGTGACGCGCTAACACCCGAGATGTGTCAAAAGTGGCGAATCGTTGTGATTGAAGCGCACGAATCGGTTTCTAATCAAGCTTTAATACTGATAAAATAAGTTCGAAATTGCAGTCCAGCGTTTCGAGGAAGACTTCAGAAAGGCGAAACTATGTTAAATTAAGCTTATAAAAGGGGGCTACAGAGACTATCATTCTCATATTGATATTGCTTTGGACCTTTGATATAGCTTACTCCAGATGGATTCTAATTATAGAGAGAATAGGTTTTACATTCACTTTAGTTTTAAACCCTAGACGAGTATGTTTTTCAGCATATAGTAACTCCTTCAAAGAAACCAATTGCCCTCAGAAGAGTGTTCCTCTTACTGATGCGTGTACATAAAGTACCAATAAATATA